ACACACAGGCTCATACACTGACATAATAAGTTATAATGTCCTTTATTACGCACATGAAGAAATATGTCTATGTGCGTGTGTGTATCGTGAAGAGAAAAGGAAAATGCTATATAGAAGCAAACATTTTTAAAGAGATAAAAAAAAACACGCACACCAACTCAATAACACTCGCATGTTTACCTTCACAAACGCCGACGCACATATGCATACATATATGAATGCTTACTAGTCTTCCTCCTTTATCTATTACTTGCTTATCTTATACCTACCTACCTACCTACCTACCATGTTACGTCGTTTCAAAACGCCCCTATATACGTATGTGAGTGAAAGACTGGCAACGTCCGTTTATGCTACAGTAACGTAGTCAATAATTTACTCACCATATATTTACACTGTTTTTCTCTTTACAGCATCTGTAATTTGCTTTCTGCTTCGTGTCACATTAAATATAAACAAACGAATACATAGGCAAAATAATTAAATTCAACCAAGAATATTTTGCTGCCTGTGGGTTTTTTTATTGGTTGATTGATTTGTTTTTTTACGGCTTATCAACCTTTTGCAGATTATTTAAAAACAGCAAATATTTTTAGATTGTAAGAATTTTTTATATAATAATAATTTACTGATACAAGTCCTAATAATTAACCCATAGCTGGAGGGAGAAGAGGTGGATTCATAACTTTCAAAAAGGTATCTGAGATAAGTGAATATAATGAACCCAACGGGAATTGGAACTCGGATCTCTAATTCTGAGCCGTTATCCATTACACCATCCGTATATCCAAGCTTACAGCACTTGGTATTTCCACGCGATCAGCCATTTAGGTACTAATCATGCTCGACGCTACTTAACTTTGGTGATCGTACGTAGATATAGCTGTAAGCTTGCTGTCTGTGGAAAGTATTCTAAAGCCGATGGTCGCAATGGCCGTAATATTTGTTCATTTATTTACATTCTTCCTCAGTTATTTTCTTATGTGAGTGTGTTTTTTTATAATACTATATCCATTCAGGACGTAGTCGATCATAGCTCACCAGATATTATCTGTCAATTGGTATGACATTTGGAAAATTTAGTATAGTGGATTCTTGTTACCTTCTTAATAGTCCTGAATTCAGAGTAGTCCTTCTCATCCAAGGCTAGAAGGCTCAGTCTTCCCTGCTGTTTAACCTATCGGGTGGAGTAGAAGAGACGTTTCCATGCCTTTCTGAAGAGCATTTGTGAGAAAGTGAACTCAACAGACTAGGACTGAACTTCAACTAATAATCATCTTAATAAAGATATAGCTGATTCTATTTAACTGAAAGAAACACGACAGAACTTTATTGATGTGTTTTCAGAAATATCTATTAATCTATTTTCATCAATCTGTTCGTCTATCTATCTATCTATCTATCTATCTATCTATCTATCTATCTATCTATCTATTGTTTTGTTCGTCAATGTACCTATCTGCAGATGTTTATAAAGGTTAGCTAAGTCAAACATAAGATGCTATAGTGAATATCGAACTCAATAACCTAGTAATTCTTTGCAAGACTCGCTTGCCAGATATCGCCATCTGTCTATTTCTGTATATTCTAAACACATACGATGGTGTACTGAAACATTCTTGGACCGACCCACTTCCCAAAATCAGATCAAACATCAGAATCTTGGTCGGACCGAGAACTTTTCAGCACTCCTTCTGCTAACTTTCATGAAATATACGAAGTGTAGCAGTGTGGAGTAACAACTGGGAATCGAACTCACTACAGCAGTACTGATCTGCAATACTACCATTATTTCACAGAGAGGCATACATTAAATTTTAAAAGAAACTAAACTCGTTTTACCTTGAATTATTTCTCCAAACTTTCAACCTTATTATTTTTATTTAAATTTTATTTTCAAAATTCATACATTAAAATATTTTTAGAATCAAATCCAACCCCTAATATAAGTTTCTGTTTAATCGCTAATATTTTTGAAAAGTTCATATTCTTTTCTGCTCCTTAAGCGAATTATATTTTTTGCATATATTCTGAAAGATAATGAGAACTTCACAGAGAGAAAACAAATAATGTAAAGAAAATGGCAAATATCAAATGAAAACATAAAGACTTTAATCTTTAATTGTTTTGTTTTTTTGTTGTTTGTTTTTTATTAGTTTTTTTTTGTTTTTGTTTTTTTTGGTTTTTGTTTATCATTTCATCACAAGAAAGGCAAGAAAGCCACGGGGGGGAGGCTACTGAGTGTGAAAGAATATAAGAAAACGAAAAACGTTATTAATTAGCGAGAACAATAAAAGAACAGAAATTAAACATATAGAAGATAACGATTGATATTGCTTTTAAATTTTTGAAGATCAAACTTGACTGGAAAGCAAAAAAACGGAAGAAAGTTCCACAAGTGAGATGTGCGAGTAAATAAACTGTTAGCATAGAACTTACGGTTATATACAGCCATTTCAACGATAAAATGATGGCATCTTGCCACCAATCTAGTATTGCTCTTAAATTCATAGAGTCTAGATACCATAGAGGAGAGATCAGAAGAATTACCATGAAAATATTCATAGAAAAGTCATAGAGAAGCTACATTACATCGGTGGAAAAGTGAGTGAAGCCAAAAATCCAAGTCAGGACCAAGATATTGTAGATTCTTTGGATTTTATCAAGGATCTTTTATCAAGTATATAGCAAAGAAATAAGGTTATTGTGATCAACTTAAAATTAACTTCCCTTCTGAGAGGTTAATTTTAGGATGAATAGTGAATTTAAGTCCCTCTATTCCTCTGTTTCGGTTTTATACACTTTATTTTATTTCATTTATTCATTTTACAATCATTTCGTACGGTTATCTCAAAATATATGTGCAGTTTAAATATCTTAAATGGTTTAATTGGATTTTTTTCTATCATTGTTTGTTAATATATGCGTGCACATTTTAAAAATAAACAAATTGACGTAGAAATAAGGACATCTTCAATTAAAATCCATTCTTGTAAAAGATTTTTCATGCTACATGTTATAGTGATAACACAATTTTATCTAGCATAAAACGCACACGCACACATTTTACTTCATAAAAAATATCTTGAGTCTATTAGTAGGTAACACAGACGCACGGATACACACACACATATATATATATATATATATATATATATATATATATATATATATATATACACGATGGTATCTACGAAAATAATGCTTTCTATTTGATTATATAGGCTCAAGGCGTCAGAGAAGAATTTTGGATGAAGCTTCCCGCCAATACAGTCTGTCAAAATAGCGTCTGATATGAAAGTGCGTACTAAGTTGATAGGTGTAACTAAATTTCTCTGTGCGGAAAAGATATTATCTATTCACGTTCATCAACGCTTGTTTAATATTTATGAAGACTAAACTGAAAAACGCTTCAAAAATACATAGCCAGTGGCGGTGACTGTGGAAAAGACAATTTTTAATAGTTGAAAATATGCCCACTGCGTCTATTGTCTTCTCGTTTAAATAAATCGGTGTTCTAACATTCAGGGCAAAGACTCTCCACAATTCGCACATTTTAGTGAACCAATCTCGTTCCCTTCGAATTTTATTGGTGAGATGTAAATTTCATTCGAACAGCTTCTACCTCAAACCGCTACCTTATGGAAGCGACTCCCAAGAGGATGCTTCCCAATAACTACAATCTTAACCTTTTCAAGTCTATGGTTATCTTCCCCATATATTTACATAAACTATACTGCTTATTCTGTAACCGTCTGCCTCGAGTGGCTCTTGTACAGGGTGAACATCATTGTATGATTAGCATTCATCACTGAAGTAGATTGACAAGGAAGGAGATTATGTTGAAACATAAATGTTTTTACTTCATTAGGATACTAACTTATTGATGCACCTATTTATTTGTATCCGTACGCGCGCCCGAGTATTTTTGTTTTTTTTAGTTTTGCTATCACTCAAAATAATATTGATAAAAAATGCCGTTGGGTTGTGTTTACATTACTTTCCGTTCCTATGAATTTTAATGCTTATCCCCTGTAACTGCATCACTCATCTTCAAAAACTCTCAGTGTCCTTTATGTTGCTATCATATTACCAATCCAAAACTACTTCAACATATGAGCTTCGTCCATGTTTGCTTGCATGCTCCTTGTTTTCTATCTCTCGGGTGTTTACTCATTTCCCATAAAGTCTTATCGCTGGGCGGAAGGCTTCCTAGACTGAAGTAAACGGCCAAGTCGAAGGGTTCTCCCTGATGGAATCAACGGCCACGTGTCTGTGACCAAAGCCAGTCTTCAAGTTGGAGAACATCGGCTGTGGTTTGACCTGGAGAGTTATAGGTTCTGCCAGGTCTTCTTGCCTAAAATGCGATACGCATGAATGAATACTCCTGCGACTTTGAAGCTAGATGTGGATGGAAATGGTTAGGTGCTCAGCTTCTCGGCCACCCTACGACAATACCCGTTCATGAGACTTATGATAATGATGATGATGATGATGTTACTTCGCTGTTTTGCTCTTTTTTTTTAATATTGGTTATCTATTTTGAGTTCTGATCCTTCATAGTACACCATTCAAAATTCTGATCCACCCAAATTGTACAATAACGACATTAATTTATTAATACTTATTTTACTTGCACTTGGATCTTAACTTAGAAAATTGTCTGCTGAACAGAAACTCTACACCAACATCTCGAAGATAAGGAATTGTATAAATCAAGCAGAAAAAGTTTTGATTGATTGATTTGTTTTTTTACGGTTTATCAACTTTTTGCAAGTCATTTAAATCCAGAAGACTGTTAGATGGAAAGAAATGTTTGGAGATAATAATGATTTACTGATACAAGTTCTGCTAATTATCCTATAGCTAGGGGAGAAGTGGTGGATACATAGCTTTCCCAATGGGTATTTGCGCGTAAGTGAATATAACAAACCCAACTGGAATTGGAACTCGGTTCTCTGATTTCCAATTCCATGCCCATTACACCATCCGCACATTCAAGCACCTGCTATTCCCAATCAGTCATCCATCTAAGTACTGACCAAGCTTGACATTGCTTAACGTCGTTGATCGCACGAGAACTGGTGTTTCAACGTAAGCTAGAGAAAGTGGAAAATTACTATAAAACTAAAAGCATTCCCGGCAACCTTTATACTTCATAGTTATCCTTTCACAGTAAATACCACGTTTCGCCCTCATTCCTTCTTTCGTTTTATCGTCGCTTTCTGTCTGTCACTGAAAAATTCACTTCCAAAATAATGATATTTTCTCTCTTTCTCCTTTGTCCTAAGATAACTTAGATAAGTGATATTCATTTTTATATTACTCGAATATATTTATTTATATTTGGTGAACAATATCATCGATAGACTAAGTAAAATCAGATTTTTTTAACCCTTTGATCCCTGTGTTCCTGAACAATTTTAACCCTTCAGCCTGAGCTCCTGAGTCAAAATTCACAAATAATTGGTATTTAATGTTTCACGGTATATATAAAAATAGTTGCAAGTGTTTACACACAGTTCAACCGGTGGCTGAGCATTAAGTCATTTTTCTCTACCACTGTTCAACCGGTAGCTGGATATTACGTCATTTTTCTCTACCACCAGTAAAGCGGTGGTCAGGACTCAAAGGCTTAAGTAAAGAAACGAGAAAAGCTCTACAGATTACTATTCTGCACTTCAGATGAAGACTATTCCCAGGATTTTTACAAGTTCAAAAATGAACATGATAAAACATACTAAATGCAATTTTCTGAGGCGCCTTTCGTCGTCAAAGCGAACTGCCTCGTATTCCTATTTGATTTTCAAAAAGCAGGAAGTGGCTGTCTGAAATGAGTTCAAGCTGCACATGCCATTTCGTATTAGACAAGCTTCGTTTACCAATTGTGTCGGTCTCCTGGCCTTGTCTTTGACCTTCCTGTAAGATAATCAGCAGAGATTAAAAAGGAGATGCCCCCAAAAATGTTCACAGCTGGAACAAAGACAATACTATACATGTGTGTGTTCGGTGTGTATGTGCGCGCGCCAAGAAACAAGATCTACTTTGCAAATAAAAACAGTCTCTCTCTCTCTCTCTCTCTCTCTCTCTCTCTCTCTCTCTCGTTTGAGAAAATTCTCTTGAATGACGAGTCCAGATGTGAGCTTCAGAGTGATGCTCCTAAACATAGTCTCTGTAGACACAGTAATCGATTCAAGACAAACCGTATGTCAAGAACTGTGAAACATGGTTGAGGTAGTGCATGGTCTGGAATGCATTTTCAACAGTTGGTGTTGATGAATATATAAGCAGTGCAAGAAACCTTTGTAGAAACATTTGCTCCCCAACATTCAAAAATGATTTCCCAGTGGATGAACAAGTATCTTTTTCTTTTTAATCGATAATGCATCTGCCCAGTAGCGCGCAGAATTGTGACAGAGGTTGAAACTGCCCCAGCCATCCATTTTGGGAGGGTATCCAGTCAAAAAGTGAAATAAAAAAATTTAGTTTATATTTAATTTGAATAAAGGGTTTATTTCATATTTCATCTGTTTTTACATATTAAAAATGTCTTAGGGGTATACAATCAATGAGTTGACCCCCGGGCATCACCAAGTATCATCAAACCTTTGCACCTGCTTGTAGTACGAAAACAAATTAAAAGTGATTAAAGGACAAATTTTGGGGCCCATATTCAGTACAAAATGACATGAAAGCAGTTTGTAAATATAAATCAACTCTGAGAAGCTATCAATCAATTCAAATATTAAAAGAAAAATCTTTCTATGAGTTTAACCAACTAATTGGAATGCCTAAAGAAATCTAAAGGATATGAAATCCTCGTATATTGATTATGAATAAATTTTCTGGTATATCTTTTGTTCAGTGAGTATACCTTTTGGGGGCTACGTTTTAATGTATGTAAGTAAGGTAATATGTCCTTTATATAATGACTATACCGGCATTTATTTCATATATAAATACTTACATTTTTCAGCATAATCTCATCCATTGTTAATACACTTACTTAACGGTTTCCATTAATCATACAGATCAAACATAACAGTGAAAATTTCTAGTCAACATTTAGCTAATTGTATAGCCAAATTATGTTACGGTCTATTTGATCTATCCTCGTATTGCTAATTTAGAATTTTAGCATCATTTTCTGTCTATATTTCTGTATTACAGTATTTACATTAGTCGGACTATTGTCCTCATCTTTGTCACCATATTTGTCACAACGTTTCGGCCGTTGTACGCTCCGGCCTTCTTCAGGTGGTTGGAATTTCGAACTGAACCCTTTATTTCGATCACTGGGGTAGACTGTTCTAGTTCCACGTGCCATGTTTGATGGATGTCAGTTATCAGTTATCTCCTGCTAATTTTCCTTCTGAAAGTTCTCCACTGCCTTAACCAGGTATTGAACTCAATACTTCTTTGGGTCTGTCACTGGATCTAACCAACGCCTTTATCCACTGTGCCATGTGTCCTTGAGGACATGAACTTCTGAGTATTATAAACCTAATGTTTTCAGCATCATTTTTTACCAGTGCTCATATTGCAATTTTGCTGTTATCATTGCATGTCTTTACCAGAGTTTATATTGCAACTTTGTTATCATTGCTTTTCTCTGGTACTCCTTATTACTGTTTCCCCTATTGTATTTATTTCTATGATTGGTCGGCTCAGGAGATTTTTGTGGCCTAGCATATGTGCTGATTCCTTAAGTTTACGAATTTTCCAATGGTGTTCCCTGTCTATGATCTCAACATGATCCCACAGGGGCGGTGATCTCCTTCTCTCTCTCCATATGTGGTCAGCCACGCCTAATTTTTCTACTTCCCCTCGCGTTACAGCTTTCTGGTGTTCTTGAAGCCTTACCTTGAGGGGGCGGCCTGTCTCTCCTTTATATTCCTTTCCGCAGCTGCACGGGATAGCGTACACACAGTCTTTAGTCATGTTCCTCTCTGTGGTGGGGTCTCACTCGTGAGAGATATCTGCGAAGTGTTGTCACGCTTTTGAAGGTTGTCCTGATGTTATATGGACCACAGATCCTTTGTATTTTCTCTGATAACCCCTTCACATAAGGCAGGCAGACTGTTTTCTGAGTGTTGTTGTCCTCCTCCTCCTCTTGTACCCGCCTATCCCAGTTTTGGGGGGCTTCTGCCATGTACCCAGGGTAGTTGTTACGTTGTAGGGTACTACTTATACTGACCAATTCCTTATCTAACGTCTCTGGATCGCCACTTATGACTTTTGCTCGGTGTTGTAACATCGGACGAACCCTTTCTTTACGCTGTATGGATGGTGGGAGTCGAAATTGAGGTACTGTCCGGTGAATGTTGGTTTACGGTATACGGATGTCTTGAACCCATGCTCTGTTCGATATATTAGTACATCCAGGAATGGGAGTGTGTTGTTACTCTCTTTCTCCATTGTGAACTGTATCGAAGGTCTTATTGAGTTCACGTGGTCCAGTAGAACCTGGACATCTTCCTGGTGTGGCCAGAGTATGAAGGTGTCATCTACGTACCTTAACCATATAGTTGGCTTTAGCGATATAGATTCTAATGCCATTTCTTCAAAGTATTCCATGTATATATTCGCCATTGCTGGTGATAATGGCGAGCCCATTGCTAAGCCCTCATCCTGTCGATATATGTGTGACCCCATTCCGAAGTGTGTTGTTTGTGTACAGAAAGTCAACATCTCCATCAGATTATCTATTGGAATACTGGTCCGCTCCTCTAGGGAATAGTCAGAGGTCAATCTGTCTCTGACTACTGAGAGTGCCTCCTCCGTGGGTACCTTGTTCTTGATTAGGATCTGTGAGAGTTTGCGTTCCGTTTTCATAGTAAGATCCTTTTTCACTTTGCTGTAGCTACCATTGCTAATGAGGTCTTCCAGTTTTCTTGTATACTCTGATTTGTCCATCACTACAGTCGCATTACCTTTGTCAGCCGGTAGTATGATGATGTTTTCGTTCCTCTGTAGTGATTCAATCGCCAGTCTCTCCAGTTTTGTTATGTTAGATCTGGGCAGCTTGGCTCTCTCCAAGGCCTGTCTCACTTTCCATCTCAGTTCATCGTTCATCGGCCGAAACGGTGTGACAAATATGGCGACAAAGATGAGGACAATAGTCCGACTAATGTAAATACTGTAGCATCATTTTATCTATCACTCCATCTGTTCTGTGAATTTAAATTTGTATGTAGATACTTGGAATTAAATCAAGCAGAACATGTTATTTCGTACATAAATTTCTATTTAACATTTTTCTTCACTTACTCACTTTCTCCCCCCCTCTCTCTCTCTCTCTCTCTCTCTCTCTCTCTCTCTCTCTCTCTCTCTCTTGTGCAACTTTTTCCTATGCTTTATATTTTGAACTAAAGTTTTACTCGTAGAAAACATTTAAAATTAACCTTAGCCCCTCTAAGAAAATTGTTTGTTATTTATATATGCATTTTCAAATTTAACTGACATTTTAAATAATTTGACAAATGTTGGTCATTAGACACTTTTGAGAATTCCAATAGCTAAATATTCTTTTCATTAGACGAATTCAAGTTCGAAATATTTGAAATCAGTTTCAGATAATCGAGATTGCCTCCACTGAAGGAAGGAGGGGCAGTGGGAAATCGCTAGTAACCTAACTAATGAATCAGAGTTAATGGAAGACAGAGCGATGACGCAGAAGGATGGTGAAGAGTTAGAAGTTGATTAGTCTACCAAGAGGCAGGATGTTATGGAGAACAATGATTGTCTACGCCCTGAAAGAGAGGATCAATATACTTTGGTGCCTTCAATATCAGTCAAATGACAATTAATATTACAACTTTAAAAACATATCAACTCTCGGTGATTCTCTGCTTACGTTCCCCTATGCTTCATATAATACTATTTATTAAGCACGCTAGATTACGATATTTCAAAATATTTTTTTCATTTTAAAAAAATCACGTTGTATGAGCATATTATGTTTTGTAAGGAATCAATGTATAATGAATTTACACGAAAACAAAATGTCCTCCCTATAAACTTTTACGCAATTAAAAATATGATATTTGTGACCTGGAGTGATTAATCTATAGTGTGATATGAAAACAAAATTTG